ATGTATAAGCTTGAGCGGCAGCACGGTATACGAACAGGCTTCAGTGGGGAGTAACGGCACTTCCTTAAAAAAACACAGTGGAAATTTGTCACTGAATGTTTGGAGCCTGGAAAAACTGTGTTGTTATTGGCACTGAAAGAAATTGTTATAAATTTAAAGATGAGTTTTAGGCTTGTTTTGAGCTGCAAGTTTTTTTTTCAGAATTTACTCTCTGGGTTATTTTAGAGATATTTTTAGCACATATGCTTTATAAGGTGTCAGACGTCTTTCTCCATTCCCCCGCATGTTCCTGCTTGATGTTCAGTGCTGATGAACACAACCAGAGAGAGGAAGAGGAGGAAGGCTGTCGTACCAATGTGATGCAGAGAAGCATTCTCAGTAGTGGGCTGTAAATCCTGTCTGAAGAGTTTATCTCTTCTGCACAAAGCATTTGTTTGCATTAAAATCCAATCCACATAGGATGATTTCATGGCACCACATCGGTACAGATGCATTATACACATGCATGTGGGGATTATTTACCCCAGTGTTTTATTTTTTCGGGTTTTCTGTTTCCATTCCTTTATTTATTGATGCTAATCAAAAGCACAATAGAGTGGATGTTTCATCATTTCATTTGATAGAACTCACAATTTTAAACAGCTGATAGAAATATAATGTGAAATTGGTCACAGCAGTGAGGAGTCACCGTCTGTGGATCAGAAGGACGTACAGAGGATGTGTTTGGTTCAGTTTATGCGGCATCAGCCGTTAAAGGTTAGGGAACGTGGACTAGAGAGTGTGAGTCACTGGTGTTTTGGTTTCATGCAGCTGTATTTGAGTCAAGTATTTGTAATCAGGTCTCGCAGTTTATCCTGCAGATCCTCTCGAGCTCCATGAGACTGGACGGGAAGTGTCTGAGCGGCAATCTTCATGGACGTTCTGTGGGGTTTCTGTCTGGGCCGTGGCCGGGTCACTCGGTGACAGACTTGTCCTGAAGCCATTACAGCGATGTTGTGGCTCCACTCTGGAGAGGGGTTTCTTCAAGGACCTTTATGTATTTGGCCATAAACGTCCTTCCCTTAGCGCTGACCAGTCTCCCTCTCCCTGCTGCTGAGAAGCCAGACACAGCTCTGGGAGTTCTGCCCAGAAAGTTCCATTTTTGTCTCATCAGACCAGAAAATCTTCTCCCTCCTGCTCACAGAGCTCTTTAAATACTGTTTGACAGACTTCAAGCAGCTTCATCTGCCATCTCCGCAGAGGAAGCTGTATTAGAGGGCCCACTGGGTTCTTTCCTCCTCTCCGGCCGAGGCCCTTCTGACCCGGTTACTTGGTTTGGTCAGACGGTGACTCTGGTGGCTCCAGACCTCTTCTAGTTCACAGAGGCCACTGTGTTCCTGGGAACACTCACAGCTTCAGACGTGGTTTTATCCCCTTGTCCTGATCTGAGCCTCACCAGTGTGATCACAGGCGTGTACAGCGAGCTACTGGGGCTTTGTTTTTGTCCTGACGTGCAGCATGAACAGTGCGACCTTGCACAGTAGGTGAGTCACTTTCTATACTGCACCCAATCAGTTCAGTTTGCCACAGGCTCTGGACACATCTCAAGGAGAAAGTAAGCAAACAGGACACAGCTAGCACTGAATGTAGTGATTGTCAACTTTTAACGCAAGGCTGGCACTGAATGTTGATGTAGTGATTGTCAACTTTTAACGCAATCTACAGCTCAATAAATTAGGCAAAAGGGGTCTCAACATGTTCCTGATGAAGACCCCAAAAGGTTTTTTTAAACTAGCTGGTTTTAACCAATTGTAATCATCACATGTCTTATTAAATCCAGTCGTACTATAAACCTCCTCTCCTTTTGAATCAATAGCTGTATAATAAAGTACAGAAAATGTTGGTAACACACTCAGGCTGGTGTGATTATTACAGCTCAAGTCATATTTGAAGTCTTGTCTATAGTTTCCTGTAAATGCAGGACTTTACATGGCACTATATTAAAACATAGCCTGGATCAGACAGAAGCTGCTTTTGCCTAAATTTTTTTTTATAAAAGTTAGATGGTAAAATGAACTTTGACACCTACACATCAAACCAAGAGATACCACATTTTTTCCTCTCATGTCCAACGTGGTCTAGTGTATAAAAACACACACAGGCTGATCCACAGACACACACACACACACACCTCAGTTGGCATCTTGTCACAGCATGCAAATGTGGGCAAAGCAGAAGGTGTACAAGTACATATTTTCACTAAATGCAAGACCTCATTTGTGGGGCGTTGAAGACCTTGGAGGTATTCTGTGTGTGTGTGTGTGTGTGTGTGTGTGTGTGTGTGTGTGTGTGATGTCTCGGGTGGCCGACCTCACAGGGGGGGCGGCTCTGTCCACACACGCTGTATAATCACGTTCCCTGTCGGGCCCTATAAATCTGTAAGGGCCCAATTAAAGATGGCCTCCAGCGTGTCCACCCCTACCAGCACACACATGTTAAAATAGGAGGAACAAACAAAACACTGTTCGCTTCTTATAGAATGTATATTTGACAAAACAGACTGCAGTGGAAACCACCAACAATTGCTCATCTAAAAATAAAAACAGTGCAAAATACATTAAAAAGCTTTGCAAACATAATTCCTTGTGGTATTCTGGTTGCAACTCACACATGTGCAGCTTGTGTGACCTGAACCTGGACTCAAAGTGTGTTACTGTATGTGAATAAAAAAGGATAAAAGATAAAAAACTGTACAATCTTAAAGACAATAAAATGATAAATTACTATTTAGCACTTTAAATGAGTTGTCGGCCATGTTCTAAGCAGAACGTGGTGCATGCAAACCAAATGAATTCCACTTTGGTGGAAATGTTGACAACAATGATGTGACGTGATAACAACTGTGACAACAACTGGTAAATAAACGGTTTAAAATAAAGTGTTGACATAATTCTACTTTTTGTTTTAAATGACATTACAACAGCTCCATTTAAGTGCAAAAATACAAAAATACACATTTTCAATTTACATAAGATCAAATTTTTTTTTTATCTACAACAATAGGCGTTAAAACATGAACAATAACAATAGTCTGTGAGACAGTGTGGAGAGGACACACAGAGGGGACATATGACGCGTCGTTGTTGACTGCCATGTAAATATCTCATTAGTTCAGGTTAGTAACATTCCCGTGCTCTTGGCTGTAACATACAGACGATGGGATCTAAGTGCTAAAACGCCCCATGTCCACCGAGTGTCCCGAAAGAGGCTGATGAGCCACTAAATGTCAGCCTGCAAAAGGATGCAAGCGGCTAGAAGCGTTTAAGTCTGACATAAACACCAGCACAGCCCGGGGATTTGATTTGGAATTATTTACATCCCTCTGATCGGGACGAGGAGGAAGCAAAGGGATAATTACACCGGTGCGTACTCTCGTGCCCACCGAACATGAGACGCTCACCCATTCCCCTCACCCTTGATGGTTGCTGGACTTAATTTTGGTGTCATCTGATAAGCGGGCCTGCTCGCACAGAGACATCTCACTGACCCAGCCACTGGTCATTGTCTATACCACTTCCCATCAAAGCCAGCGTGGTTTGTCAGGTTTCGACTCGAATATCCATTTTGCATCTGAAGTACGGTATCTGAAGTGACTGGATCATTCGAGCCTTTTTCTTCAGCTGCTGCCCCCTTTACTCCCCCACAGCGTTCCTGCTCATGCTAACATCATTTGGGATTGTCGTGACAGCATGTTGGAGAAATCTATGGTAGATATAAATACATACATCCTGCTGGTGGGGGGGGGGTAATTTCTGGAAATGAACAATACTTATCCGTCCATCGCATCCGTTGCTTTGGGTTTGCATTTTGGACGTGGCGCGCCATCACAGTGGCGTGGTGTCCTCTTTTTTCTGCAAATAATGCGGTGATAGGTCATTCAATGTCAAAAGGCATAAAAAAAGAGACAGCCAAGTCTTCACAGGCTGCTGCTTCCTGTTGCCTTTAATTATTTTAATTAAACTTTGATATTCTGGTGCTGAGAGAACTAGTGAGTTGTGACGCAGCCAGGGAGCCCTCAGAGGACGAGACGGTGGGCAGAGGACTGTCCAGGCAGCTGTATCTATATCTTAAGTCTAAAGTGATAGGCCTGTCTATGGGCTGTGATGTGCTACGCCTTGCTGAGCAGAGAGCAGACTGTGCTGAAAACACCAAGCGCCATGTCAAGGTCTTGAAGGCATCAATCCCTCAAACCTAGCTGAAGATGGTCCTGGTCAGGAGGCTGTCCCGCGGTCGAATAACGCTCTATTAATTTCCTTGTCCCGAGTGCATAATGAAATCAAAGTAAGGTGTTTCCAAAAAAAAAAATAAATAAATAAAAAAAAAAAAACTAAAATAAAGGCCAAAATCTTAGTGGCTTCAAATAAAAAAAAAAAACTAAAATAAAGGGCAAAATCTTAGTGGCTTCCAGTAGCTTGGGGCATCCTGTCTACAATTTGTCATGCGTGTGCACTTCTCAGTGTTAAAATGACAAGATAAGAGAGTTAAAGGGCAGCCGCCAGGCGCCCAGCGCCGCTGAACTTGACCAGGATTTGTGTTGAGACATTGCCAAAAGGCAACGGACTTCTGCACTCGCGAGGCCCAGTGGGATTATACCAACTCGCATGCCAAAGGCAAACAGCCCCTTTCACCGTGCTTTTGTTTTTTTTAAAGATAGCTTCCGTCTGTATCCATGAAATTAGGTTTTTCACAGAAGGCACAATATGGTCAGAATACGTTAAGCCTTTGGTGTGCACGAGAAGCTAACTGAGAGTGAATGCTGAATTCTGGGGCACCCTGTGTTTCTGCTTTACAGGTAGGAAAAGGTAGTAAATAAGTTAATGAATAAAAGGTAAAGCTAACACTGCACCCTGTGTGCTTCAAAGGCCAAAGGGCAGAGAACCACAAAGGAAACTGCACAAAGTGAAGCGGAGTGAACAGACAGTGGTTTCAGCTGCAGGATTACACATCTTGGAAACAAAAACCTGACATTCTTCTCTTGTCCACAGCGGTCAGCACGTTGGTTTTCACACAGCTCTCTTCTACTGATGCTGCACACGGCTGAAATTAATACACCGACCCTGAAAACGACACAGACAGAGAAAGGGTTAAAAAATATAAAGCACCTCCCTGGGAACTAATGTACACGTTTTTCAGTAAACTGTTTTATGTTTGAGTCTATACAGTATAGATATAAAATACAACATCTGTACAGAAAAATAAATACTGATGTGAATTTACTGACATATCCCAACACAAAAAAATCAAACTAAGACACCAGACTGAATGTTATATACATGACTACTACTAAAAGAAAAACATAATAATAATAAATTAAATACAGAAATAACTCATTCCACACATATAAAGAACACTGTCTTCACAGATGGATTTACTGAGACATTGCTGCAGATAAAGTGAAACATTCTGTTACATTTTCAACATTAAACCCAGTGAAGCCTTAACCTTTCTGAGAATACTGACAAAAACCCACATCTGTTATGCCTTCCTGTGCACGGCCTCACCCAACATGTGTATCTGTGTGTGTGCTCGTGTGTTTGTGTGTCGCAGCAGCTGTCTGAGCCTCTCGGCGTAGCAGAGGCCTGCTCGCTAACAGTAGGCCGACTGGCACCAAGAGGGAGCTCTCGCACAGCAAATCCCCAGCAGCCAGCCGGCCTCCCACC